CCCAAAATTCTCTGTAGCCCCACCTCCCAGCACCATCCATGTGCTCCTGCCCACCCTGAGTGCAGTCCTGGCTTAGTCCCCTCACTAGGAAGAGACTAGTGCAGCCCCTGGCCCTAGCCTGCAGTGGACAGCCCTACCCTCATCCCATGCACACACCTGGGGGGCGTATGCCTTCCATGCCTCCCCTGGGGGTGCATGCAGCAGCGGGAGCCAACCCCCCTGCACACCTCACACTCCTTGGACAAACTGCCAGCAGTTCCATCCTGCATCCTGCCCTGGCTGGGCAATGCCTGCCCCTGCCACTGCCCCAGCCCCACTCCCTCCCTCACTGTGGGGGCCTCAGGCTGCTCACCCCTCCACTCTTCCCCTTCCCCTCCCCCACACCCCTTTCACTCCTGCAGACTTACTGGCTAGATGCTGCTCTCCAAGATTGCTGGACTGCATTCCTGGCTGCATGCATGCTGTGCTATGCTCATGCCCACGGCGTTTATCAGTGATATTATCGGCCACATTGGCCAGAAAAAAAACTATTGCCGATAATGTCAGTTTTCCTTTTATCGGTGATGATATGATATGGACTGATATATCGGTGCACCTCTAATCAACACCAATTCAGAGCAAGTCCCTAGGTGTTCCAATCCTGTCCAAGGTCTAGTATGATCCAAGCTGCAGCTGTGCGGGGAGCCCTGAACTCCACTGAAATCCCCAGTCATTTAGTCCTGGGTTCTGCTCCTTGGTGTCAGGGACTTGTTTTTGACCTGTGACTGTCTACAGTAAACAATCCTGTAGGTACCTGGTTGTAAAATAGGTGCTTTTGATTGCATTTTGGAACCAGCTAACTGTCTCCATTAACTCCATGGGATGCAAGGCATTTAACTATACTGATCTGGATTCCCCTCCCTCCTGGAACAAAGCACCCAAATTAGGGGCAGTGGAAAGCCCAAGGGCCCATTAGATAATTTATCTGTAACTCCCATTGCCTAAAGTTCCTAAGTCCCATAGACTTTCAATAAAACCAAGGCCCAGTTTTTCAATGATATTTAGATACCTAACTGCCACTGAAAATAACAGGAGTTAGATACTTAAGTCACTTCTGAAAATGGGATGCAGACTTCTAAGTCACTTAAGCACTTTTGAAGTTTGTACACATTGAGAATGGAGAGGACATCATTTCCAAAGACCTTTGAGCATAGATTTACTTTTGTCATGACTTACTTTAAAGATATATTTACAAATTCTCTTCTGACATATGCAGGTAGGCTGTGTATTAAATGATGCTATTTTACAAGTGCAGAGAAGTTTAGTTTGAGGCTTTTAAGTTATTTAGAATATATATAGGATCACTTAAAATACTATTGCCTGGGAGGCTCACGATATTTGGAGGCAGTATACACATGTGCTGAGCAATGCTGATACATTATGAATGATGCTGGCACACGTGTTTTAAAAAAACACTTCCTTCGACAAATATGAGTAAGTGCAAGCAGACTAGCCAGGGGAAAAGCATGTGTGCCCCTGCCTCTTTTTCTACGGAAAACCAGAGATTAGCAGGTGTTTGATAAAGAGTAAAAATAAATATCAGGATATCTCACAGGATTGGTACCTGGGGATGGCAGTAAGTTTTGGCAGATGGCTAAGCACAGGCTGTTTATAGTTCTGGCATCTACGTTTTAAGAAAAAGGAGGCTGATATATTGCAGAAGGTGAATGGGGGAAAAAAAGCCACAACAGTGATTTGCAACTGGGGAAAATGCCTTTCAGTGAGACATTTAAAGAGCTCAATCTGTATAGTCTACCGAAAAGATTAAAAGGTGCCTTGATAACAGGAGATAAGTAATGCCTTTAGGGGAAGAAAATGGCATGAACCAAATAGGCTCTTTAATGTAGGAAGGCAAAGCATAACCAGAATCAATAGCTGAAAGCTGAGGACAACATATACAAATAAAAAAAAAATAGGCATATATTTTTAACAGTGAGGGTGCTTATTCACTGGAACAAAGTTATTATACTATATGGTGGATATTTCATCTCTCTGCTTTCAAATTCAAAAGTAGATATCTTTCTGAAAGACACAGTATCCAAATTATACCTTTGTTAAGCCTGAGTTCTTGGGCTCCAGACAGAGATAAATGAGTGAAATTTAAGGGGTTGTCCCATATAGGAAGTCTGATTACACGATCAGATGATCTGTTGTGGCCTAAAACCCTATGAACTGCTGCATAGGGTTCCCACTTTTATATGAGCGAATGTTTTTAAATGATGTGTGATTAAGATTTCAAGTGTGTTATCATAATGAAATGCAAATGTAATATGAAATCATTTTGAAAACCATATTGGTTGTACCTATGGGAATCTGGAGCACACATCATTAAATACGTATTAATACAAGCATGTTATGTATTATGTAGTGGACTTTAGTATTGTGAATTCAGAACGCTTAAATGTAGCAGGAGGAAATGAAAAAAATCAGCTCAAGCAACAGAACCAAGGCAGGAAAACAAAATGAAACACCCTCAGCCCCTGCCCTCCTCAACCCCCACCACAAAACAATCCACCAACGTGAAAGCAGGGGCTGAATCTGAACGGAGCAAGAAAAAAGGAATGGTCCGGTTGATCCCTGACTCACCTTGATTAATATGATTGCAATTGTAATAGTTGTTTAGCACCTTCGCAAAATCATCAGGAGTATTTAGCAGTCCAGGCACCAAAATCCAATCAGCCAGTCATAATGGAAAATCTATTTCTGTCTCCCCAAATTGCTTTGAATTACTTGAGGAGACCTGAGTCAAAGCATGCAAAGCTGGCTGATCGGTGCTCAGGAGCAAACTTCTGTGATTTGGACGGGGTAACAAGTAGTTGGGAAGTAAGGTTACCGACCTTGGTCTAAATATTACCTTTTCCCAGCTGTGCAGTACAGCTTGTCACATGAGAGATCAGAGTAAATACATGAAAATCTTCCAGTTGTTAAGACTGGGTATTTAAACGATCTGGTTCCTGAGAGGCAACAGAAATGTCTGAATTTCTTATAGACAAAGTCTAGTCTTTTCATAGATCAATAATTAGCATGACATGCTCCCTTCTGAGTGGGCTTTTATAGTCTCAATTGAAACATGCTGAATACGGGTTACTATAGCGACAGTTGAACTTTGGAATAAATGTATTTGTCAGTAAATGCAGGATGGTCGTATGGAAACCACTGAAATATATCTTTCAAATTCAATCTGTGGTATTAAAACCATAGGAACAGCCTTACATTTTAAACTAGAAGATGAAGCCCCATGACAGAATGGGTAGGAAATGAAGACTGGAGGCTGTATAATTTCCTAAATAGGATGGATGTCTGCTGAGAAAATAATTAGCTCAAAGATTAACATAGTTTTTCTAATTATTAATCTGCATTAATATTAAATCTCACTCCTATCTTTCCTAAGACTCTAAAATGGCTGCTTTGAAGTAGATTTCGGATGCATCACATAGAGAGACTTAAAAATGAGCCATTAAAAGCTCTTCTTGTTTATGCTTCAGAATGACTCTAGCAATCATGCCACAGAAACCTGGCTCTTTGTACTCAAGACAGACAAAATATGTGCTACAGAAATGATCTACATTCCCTTGTATGATATATTATGAACAATAAATGTTGTGAATGGCCCATAATAATTCAGAACTCTTGGGGATGTGATATTTTTTTATTAGACCAACTAATAGTTGCAGAAAAATGTCTTTATTTGCAAACTTTCAGGCACACGTGCCTTTCCTCCAGCATAGGAGAGTGCAAAGATTGTAAAATTTCTCCCAGGTGGAAATGAACATTCATATTTCACAGGAGAGCTGAAAGATGGTGTAAGATCTCCTGGTTGGAAAAGTTCATTTTATGCAAAATAGGCTCTGATAAAAGCTGGGGCAGCCTTTTTACCTTAGAGTTGTCTGATGGCAAGCCGGACATTGAATTATGCTTCTTTCTTGTTATGATGTTTCATAGTTCACAGGAGGATGGTGATGGAAGGCTCTCGTGGGCAAGACATTTCTGTTGTGTTGAGATTGCTCTGTG